CAGGTAGTAAAGAGTGAAATATTGATGAATAATACACAACAAAATAAGAAAAAAAACGAAACAAAAAGATACAGTTAAATGAAACAAAAACTTTTATGTTATAAACTATCAACTAGTTTATGTATTATTTAAAAAACGAGCAGCAGTGTTTTATCGGGTTTAAAAACACGAGGCGTAGCCAAGTGTTTTTAGACCCGGTAAAACACGTGCTGTGAGTTTTTTAAATAGCTTCAAAGACCCGTGCCTCTCTAGAGATTTTTCCAAACATTATATGAATGCATTAAATAGTTTCAAAAACCCGTGCCTCTCTAGGGAGTTTTCTAAAGGTAATTGGAATGCATTAAAAGTTAATTACATTCAGAGGGGAAAAGTGCTCCTTGTTTGCCTGCTGTTAAAGTTCAGAAAGCTTTCCCTTGAGATGCCGCCCAAACGCGTGTTTCGAGAACCAAAAAATGCGAATTGTGTCTTCCAAAACTGCACAATTAATTTTGTGAACAATGGGAAATTGTAAAAGAACGAATTTCTGTTCTAACAAGAATTGATAAGGAAAATAAACTTTGTTGTTTACTGCGGTTAATGTTTTTGTAAGCTGGCTTTTCGGGAATAATTTGGTATTATAATTAACGTGATCTTTATATAAAGATCACAGTAATCATGMTTTCATTAATAACTCAGCGATGATTTCGTTGTTTATGAATTGTACCCCGATTTCCCCCGAGACCGAAATCAAAACCCTCTCCGGGCTTTTCAGAATGATCATTCTATACCGGCTATAAAGGTTCATACACGTGATCGATTTGCCTCGTGTGATCGGCTCACGGGTTTTTGAAGCTATTCAATGCATTCATATAACGTTTGGAAAAATCCCTAGAGAGGCTCGGGTCTTTGAAGCTATTTAAAAAAACTCGCAGCACGTGTTTTATCGGGTCTAAAAACACTCGGGTACGCCCCGTGTTTTTAAACCGTTAAAACACTGCTGCTCGTTTTTTAAATAGTACCTAAACGAAGAATCCTTATGACGCACTAAGACAATTTTTATCATAATCTCTTGACCTTTAATTATTTACAGTTACATGCTAATTTGCGTTCATTATAGAGGTTCATTATAGTGTTGGACTTACTGAGCTACAGGATGCCAGAAGCAACAGGTTCCCCAAAAGTGAGATCACTTTGAATGCGAGGTTTACATAACTCAGTCTTTTGATCGCTATAGAGATGAGCATTAAAAAAAAAACAAAAAACAAAAACAAAAAAAAACCAAAAAACAAGTAATCAATGGAGGATAAAAGATTGAGGAAATTTAAGGACGCAAAGGGGATGAAAATTCATGCACTCTGTTAATTCGTGAAAGATACTGGCGTCACTCAAAGTTATTATCTTTTTCCATAAAACTTTAATTTCTGTCGAATCCAGCTAAGGTAAAAATGCCTTTCATAGTAAGAAAAGATCTTTTGAACCCCTCATTTGTTTATTAGCCGCACTTGGACCCGAATTTTCAGGAATGCCAAAGTATCGTCAAACTTGTCAAACTTTTTCCCCTTCAAGCTGAACTGAGCTTTTAGCTGGCAGATTTGAGAATTTTGAGTTGCAAATATTTTCATTGAAAACATGCGTTCTTCCTAACACATTCGACGGAACAAGACAAAAGTAAGCTGTACGATATACCGAGAAAATGCATTTTGCTGAAAGGCAAATCTTGGCTTGGGTCATCGGCGTTCTCTTCCAGATGTTTATAAAGTTTAATAGATTGCCAACTTTCATGAGAAATGAAATATACTGATGCAAACTGAAATATAAATAGAAAAAGGAAAAAAAGATCAGATATGATATAAATTGAGCTACTTGGAGTCGACCAACAAATTAAAGAGGCTTTATGAATTTTAAAACTAGGGTCAGTCATTTGTGATGAGGAATTAATGAAAGAGGGACTGCATGCTTCAAACATAATACATACTTGACCAATGTTAGCGTTTATACTATCATACAGCATCGCCAACGTGACTTTAGGGAAACAAAAACTGTATATATTGGCCTATGTCAGTGTTTGACTTTGAGTTCGATGTACTTGTCACGGTTTGACTTAAAAACGTACAGCTAGTATCCAAGAGGTACTGGTTCGAATCTCATCAAAGCGTGATTATTTTTTGTCAGGCTTCTTTTTTTCAATTTATTGTTCACTTACGAAGATTGCTTTTTTACTTCAATTTATGAATTGCAAATGTAGCATACAAATTTATTGTGAACAAGTTTAAGAAAACCACAGAGCACAGTCTACGCAAGCCAAACTGCTTGAATGATCTTTTTTCGGCCCAGTAAAAGTTATCAAGTTTACAGTTACTCGTCCTAAAATATCAGAGAGCGCAAATGCCTTAGCGCTGCAAATATTATTTGTACGCAAATTATTTGTATGGCTAGCAACTACATGACTGTGTTTGAACAGAATACAACGTTTTGGAAACTATGCACCAGAACTCCTATAAATGCTTCAAGCTTTGGAACGAACTTCTGCATGGCTAATCCCGGTTCCGCTGTCGTTATTTTCTGCGAAATGGAAAGTTCGCGGTTTTAACGAGTCCCGCCGAAAATCATGAAATCAGGTAGTCGACTAAGGTATAAAGGCAGAAGGATATCTCAGAGTTTTATATGATTAATCATTGTTCAGACTCACCATGTCCAAGATTGCGAGAATCGTAACACCTGTACGAAGACTGCAGCCGAAACAACAGGTTTTCACCAAAACTGCCATTGTAGATGATAAATTGATGCTGTTGAAGTCCTAAATGTAATGACTTTCCTAAATGTAATAAAGTCCTAAGCGTAATAACATTGATCCTAAATGTAACAAAGTCTTAAATGTAATAACATTTGGTCCTGAATGTAATAAGGTCCTAAATCTGGGGTAGATCCAGGGGTGATTCGGTTGGTTCGGTCGAACCCCCTAAATTATCCTTCAAAAATCATGTTTCCAAAGACCTAGTTTTCAAAATCTCCCGGGGTAGCATGCCCTGGGGCAATTCTCCGAAACCCCCTTGACTAAGTCCTGGATCTGCCCAAGTAAATGCAATAACATTTGGTCCAAGATGTAATAAGCCCCCAATGCAATAGATTAACTGCGCTTCTGCATCCACATTGAGATGTTAAAGTGACAACTGTTGCATCAGAGAATCCTCTGATTAAAATTCATAGCGTATTGTGGGCTCGCTCGCTGATTTTAACTAGCGTCTTTTTTTCGCTGGAGACGTAGGCCGAGAAGCATTGGCTACAAACCTTCATACTGATGTGCTTTTGGCATCAAATTGACAGATCTCAAAACAATAGAACGCTGACCAATCCGGCCATCTTGACCGAACAGGCTTGGTCAAGAGATTTTATATTTTCGACAAGTAATTTTTCACGGAGAAAAATGCGTTTTCTCTTCAGTTATCACGGATAATTGAAAATAACCCCTTTATTTCACGTATCACGACTGGCATATCGTTCACGAGTCCTAGCCCGGATCACGTTTTTTATCACGATAAAAACAACCGATCACGTTGCGTAGACCCCGTTGGACATCATGTTGGAAGACTGTCGAAAGTGATGACGCAGGAATATTGGCAGCTGAAGGCTTTTGAAAATTCCCGCAGAATGTATACCTTCCTTGACATTAAAACTCAGTAAATGGTCTTCAATGCAACCCTTTGCCTCTATTTTAAGTTAGACTTTGAGAGATATTTCTTTTACCGCGCGAAAAGGTTGGAAAACGTTTTTGTTTTCCGCGATGAGCGATTGTCTCGGTATTTGGTTAAGATATTTGCTTTCTCTTTTCTGGTGTGACTGTTTTAAAAAGCGCATAAGATATCTCAGGTCCGTCTCACTAACAAGGGACATCGATCAGAAATCGACACCATGTAGCGATCTTTCTTGTCCTGTCAAGAAAGATGCAGTTTGCCTCGCGAACATTTATCACAGACATTAATAAACATCTAAATAGTGGTTAGTCTTGTTATATACCCACCTTGAAATTCAAGACTCTTGACGGCACACAGTGAGGCTGATTACCGTAATAATTTATACAACGGAAATGCGCAGTTATATCACGAAATTCATCCTGAAACTTGCTCTGAGTGTTAGGAAGGCGACTAAATTAAATTGAATTTACGCTTCGACCGAGTCTTTCTATTGTTTTTGAGAAAGAGAAAATGTGGCATGATGTGCCTTAGAAAGGGAAATTTCTATTTCTTAAACTGAAATTTCTTTATTGAATAATTTCTTAATTTATACCGTCTTACTCTGGGATATTTCGACTAAAAAAAACCTTAAGCAAGGAGAGAACTTAATTGGTACATTTTATCACATATTTCGTGATTATTCGATCAAAAACTTACACATCCCCCCGAATCGACATTGCTCATACCTCCTTATGAAACGGCTGTAACAATGCGCTGAATTATTTTCAGAATCGTCTTTCTGTTCGTCAAAACAACTTTCCCCTATACATTTCTTTGAAGCAACTTGCAATGTTCGCCCGGTGGCGATCTCAGAACCTTTTGCGCGTAACAGAAGGATCTAGTTATTGGCAACTCATCATGTTCATTCCCACCGAATACGCTGAAACATGACCTTGAGAAAAAACTGACAGAAATTGAAAGAAAAAATTGTGTCAAAACTTTTCAATCTTAGCATAGGTTTAAAAATGAGCTATTTATAAACCAAAATTTATTTAAAAACTAAAAACAAAACGTTTTCGACACTAGGTCACCGTCAGGGTAAATACNAACTTTTGCTTATTAGATGTGGGTAGATGACCCTGTGCTATTAAGCTGACATTTGCAATAAAGCAAACCCACCCTTTACATCCATCACTTCTTGGTCTTTGGTTTTGTTTTTCCCATTGAAACCAGCATCGGATCGATTCCCAATGATCAAAGGTATTTAACTTGGTCTTCAACAATCGACAGAAGAGGTGAAATGACAATGACCAAGGGACTAGAAGAGAATCCGTGGCCTTCCTAGCTCAAGAATTTCAACACTCTAGGCAGCAGTTGAAAGATTAAACTCTTTCCAAACCCCTTCGGTAACTGCCCGAAAAAATCTCTCCTTTCCACGATGTTCTCGTTAATAAGTTTTTGTTCAGATTTTAATAAGCTAACCGAAAACACAGCTAAGCTTTATCTAAGCTCTTGCTGGAGGTCGTCCACGAACTTAAGCCGTATTGTGAACGAATTTACTACAAAGCGAAGATTAGATATTGGCGCGCACAGAAAGCAGAAAGCTACATAGGCGAAAGCGCCAGTTGCTCGACATACCCGCGTGGCCCGTGCGACGAAATAACTTCACGGGATTGGCAAAGTTTCAGTCGCAGCAAATTATGCAAAAAATCTAAAACGATTTAAGCTTAAATCTCGTTTAACGTTTAAAGCAACATATCAATGACTGCAACCATCGTGTTGTATACAAACCTCGCAAACTTTAAAACACGTTCTCTAGTGATACCTGCGAAAGTATTCTGTATAATTTCCGGTAAGATTTTCTCGGACAATCTGATCGATTTCTCTTACATTGTGTGCTGAGACCGCGGTGACTTTTCAACTCGAGCAAATCTCCGTCACACGGCCCAAACAAATTAAACATAGCGAGAAACTGAGCTATTAGTCTATTTCCGTGTTAAAACACACGAAAGGACTCTAAAGTGCACTTCACTCTGATTGGGCAGAAAAACACAAAGATTTTCTGGCACCAATCAGATGGCAGAACGACTGCGACCGTTTGGAACTAGTCTTGTAAGACAATGTCCCCAGGGGCTCTTCATGCCCTAACTTGAAATCGACCCACAGCCCCTGGGTCTCCGAGGATGA